ATGGGTGAGGGTTTATTTATTTGAGCACAGACAACTTCCCAGTGGCTACCCCACTGAAGAAAATAACACTCTCTCACCCAAGAGCCATTAATTGCCAATAGTCCCTCAGGGAGGACTGGGGCCTCATGGGCCCCTCTCCCATCTGTGAAAACATGTTGACAAGCCTAGTTGTGTGCAGGTCTTGTGCAGATAACTACAGCTACAATGTGTTCATGAACACAATGGCTATGTCATATTTCAAAGGATGTCCTTTTGGTGTACAACTTCCCCAGTCTCTGGTTCTTACATTTTCCCAACCTCTTTTCTACCATGTTCCCTGAGACTGGAAGAGATGATACCATTTAAGGCTGAGAATTCTACCATCACTTATTCTTGGCCCAACTTGAAGCTAGTTACGTGCATTAACCATCACCTGCTATAGTAAGAAACTTTCCTGATAAAGGTTGGATGCAACACTAATAAACATTAGTACTTATGAGGAAGTTTGACAATAAGACCATTTACCAAAACATTAACAGTAGGTTCCTTCCCAACCACAGGGTCTTCTTGACCATATTTATAAAATCAGCCTGGTTTCTTCCTGTGGAGCAAACCTCTGCCCCAATTAGAAAGCAATTGGTCACACCATAACAAACATGCCACTGTTGCACAGGAAAACACATCTTGCCAATCGTGTCCATATCAAAGATGGTAAGATTCCTATCTAGGTAAGAATGATGATGACTTTGCTCCCCCAGTAACCCGCACAGCACCTACAAGAACTATGAAGAGTAGCCAATGGAGAGGAAGCTTCTAGCTCAACTCCAGCTTGATTTCTTTATGCTCTGTGACCCAATTGTGCAACATGCTGAATAATAAAGTTTTACTATTGAACTCTAGTGAGTATCCAAGAGCAATGGCAATCATCTGTATTGTTTAGGAAGTTCCTGGGACCTCCCTGACAGCAGCTCACAGAAAGATATTCCCCCTTTGTTGTAACATTTTAAGTTTTGATGAAGTTAAATTTATCTAAGGGGGAGGCTGAAGAGATAGGGTGGTGTTTAATAGCACTTGTCGCTCCTTCAGAGATACCCAGTTCTATTCCCCACACCTACATGGAGGCTTACAACCATCCATACCTCCAGTTCTTGGGTATCTGACACCATCTTCTGATTTTCATGAGCAACAGGCATACATGTGGTACACAGACTTACATGCAGACAAAACAATCATGTACATAAAGTAAATAAACTAAAAAAAAAATCTATTTTTCCTTTTGCTGCCTGTTTTCAATGTCCTAACCAGGAAATCACAGTCAAATCCAGTTTCACTAAGATTTTTTCTTAAGTTTCCCTTCATTGTGTTGAAGGTTTTGTTCTTATACTTAGGTCTTTGATCCATTTAAAGATAGTTTTTGTACAGACTGTGAGACAGTTTGAAGTTCACTGTTTTATACTGAGATGTCAAGTTTCCTTAACACCACTTTCTGAAAGATGATTCCTTCCTTCTTGGGTGCATTGTCAAGCATCATAATACCACATAAATAAGGGTTAATTTCTGGATATTTTCATTTTATTCATCAGAATTACACATCTCTATTACACTCTCATACCCTTCTGATCAGTGTCACTTTGTGGTAAATTTTGACATAAGGAAGTGGGAGTAGCACTGTGTAATTCCTCTCCAAGTTTGTTGAGGCTACTGAGGTTTTGTGCCTCCTCTGTATGAATAATAGGATGAGGTTTTCTATTTTGAGAAGAGCATTACTAATATGATGAAAATTGAGGTTAGTCTATAGAAATAAGCAAAGTAATCCAAGCTTCAAAAGAGTCAGATATTACTACCATACATGGAATCTATGGGGGAATAGTGTCCTCATTAAAGGGAAATACTAGATAAAAAGAAAGAGATTCAAGAAGAGGGAAAGGAGGGAAAAGTAAGTTTGTGTGATGTGTAGATATATCTCATCAAAGCATACTGCTACATGTGCATATGAGATTGTCATCTTATGAAAATAAACTCACTTTTCTATACAATAAATACGTATTCATAAATATGTTCAACTTCAGAGAAATAACTCTAAGTTATCATTGGATGATATCTGAATCTCTTCTCATATGAATAATGTTGCATATGTATGTGCTGTAGTTTTCTTTGCTCATTCATCTCTTTATCCTAATGTTGGTTGTCTCCCACTATTATGAGTTTAGTGAATAAGGCTACATAAGTACTATCGTGCAAATATCTTTCTAATGACTTGCTTTGAAATATTTTGGACACAAACCTAGAAGTGGAGTATCTTATAGTATTTGATATTTGCCTTTCTGAGAAAAGAGCATAACTTTTAAATACTTAAACAGTTATCAAATGCAGACTATTTGTGATATATATATAGATATAGATATATATATCTCCTAATTTTCTCCCCAAAGCTGAGTTTATATATGTAGTACAGGTATCTGTAAAGTGACAAAACAAATCAGGACAGTGCAGTGTCTCCTCAGAAATTGTAATATATATATAATATGATGTTAAATGTTGACAAAGAATAGATAACAAGACCATTAGTGGATGTCCAAAGCTACTTCTTATACCCTTTGTTGTGTTGAAGAGTTTCCAAGTTTGCTTGCTATTTCACATCTGAAAGTTACATGTTACCAAATGGTTTTCTGAATCAGTTGACAAGACCATGTTTTCCCCAATATGTATTACACTTCACAAAGTTTCTATATAGGATCATCCTTGAATTTCTATATAGAATCTCCTTATTGTGTTTGATTCTTGCAATACACTCCTCAATTTGGAGTACCTATGTGTTTTTAAAGATTTTTCACATCAGTATTCATATTGTTCTATAGTCTTCACTTCTGTAGATTTTGTGACTGGATTAGTATTAGGGTAATGTTGGCCTCATGAAACAAACTAGGAATTCTTTTGGAAGAATTAAGCAATCATTGTTTCCAATTATTTTTAAATGATCGCTTTAATTCAAAAGGAAATCTCTCTGGTCTAGGCATTTTCTGTGTTGGAAAATTTTTCAGTGTGAACTTTATCACTTGTTTTACTGTATTTCTGTTTACAGTACTAGTTTTGATGGATCAGGTTCAAAGGGTGTGTAATCAAATAAGATAGATTGCACTCAGACTTCAGTACAGTTGAACAACTGTCCTGTGCCACTTTGGAATATAGATGGCAATATTTTTGTGATTGTGCTTTAGCTTTATGACAGTGTCTATGAAAAAATGTCTATTGTTTGAAGAATAATAGAAGATTTGTTTGAGAATAAAGAATTTTCTCCACAAAAATGAGTTTAAATATGTAGGACAGGTAGCTCTAAAGTGGCAAAACCAATTAGGACAGTGAACTATCCTCAGAAACTGTGATGACCAGAGTGACTATCCAAAGCCTTAGTTTGTTTGTTTTTGTTTGTTTGTTTGTTTGTGTTTTATTTTTTGAGAAAAGATTTCTCTGTGTAGCCCTGGTTGTGCTATAAATCAGACTGGCCTCAAACTCAGAGATTTGCCTGCCTCTGCCTCCAGAGTGTTAGGATAAATAGCAGAATCCTATCCCAAATATGTGTAAAGAATGAAGATATTTTGTGTAGTGTTGACTACAAGAAAAGAAAGATCTATCTGTATGTATCCCCCCATGTGATTTTGTGGATGGAATTTCTTTACACAATGTAGAGATAAGTCATTTGTCTCTCAAAACTAATAACTCAGCAATTTGTTCATGGATGTGGAAAATTGTTCTCAGTGAAAACAGATTGGATCAACACCAGTAATTTAGATACATAAAACCTCTTCTTAATTTAGCTTTTGAGAATGTGGTAGTTTCCATGTGGATTAATAAAGATGTTTGTTTAATTCTATAGCAATTTTTTCCATTGTAGACTGTTTTATGTCACTTTCTGTTATTTAAATCAACCTTAAATTTCACCTCAATCTCCAAAATGTTCTATGCAAGAAAATATAATGATACGTCTCCAATTCTTCATTTCTCCCAGAAGTATAAAACACAAGAAGAAAAAACTACATTAAAACTACAAAATATAGCCGGGCGGTGGTGGCGCACGGCTTTAATCCCAGCACTCGGGAGGCAGAGCCAGGCGGATCTCTGTGAGTTCGAGGCCAGCCTGGTCTACAAAGCGAGTTCCAGGAAAGGCACAAAGCTACACAGAGAAACCCTGTCTCGAAAAAAAAAAAAAAGGGAAACAATAAAAGTTCAGTAAAGAGCCGGGCAGTGGTGGCACACACCTTTAATCCCAGCACTCGGGAGGCAGAGCCAGGCAGATCTCTGTGAGTTCGAGGCCAGCCTGGGCTACCAAGTGAGTTCCAGGAAAAGGCGCAAAGCTACACAGAGAAACCCTGTCTCGAAAAACCAAAAAAAAAAAAAAAAAAAAAAAAAAAAAAAAAAAAAAAAAAAAACTACAAAATATGGAAAGGAGATAACAGAAACAAAAAATGGGAAAAGGAACATGGTGTCCTGATCACCTTCACAGAGAACTGGGGATCATTCCTTTTAGAAAAGTATTTAAGATTTTTGTAGGCATTACTTATAGAAAAATTGAGCCAAATGAAAATGGAAGAGAAGCAGAGGTCACCACTGTAGGATGTTGAAATATTCTGGTGAGTCACATAGTGAATGAACAGTAAGAGTCTTCTTCATAACAACAAAAAATTAAGAAAGTACACATCTCAGCTTTTATACTCTAGAAATGCTCAGTAATCACTCGGTCTCTTGCAGCAATCTAAAATAATGTGTGGAGTATTCTCTAACAACATTTATTAAATAATATCATTTGGGAGTCACTATGTGGGAGTTTCAAACAATTCTCTTTTGTATAAAAATAATTGGACTAGTGCCAATTCTTTCCTTATAAGTAGAATACGGTTTGGAACTTACTCCACCCCCATGCCATTGATTACTGATTAGTCATACATTTGGAGCTATAATTTGCACTTGCTCACTGCCCTGTGAGAGCAGCAGAAGAAAGAGAGTCTGCTAGGTCAGAGCAGTGAATGAGGATGAATTCCAAAGCTCAGAAAATGGAATTAAATGATGGCCACTCCATTCCTGTACTGGGCTTTGGCACCTATGCAACTGAAGAGGTAACAGGGATGGGACTGGGGTTGAGACTGGAATGAATACAGACCTAAAAGAACGGAAGTTACCAATTCCTGTGCAGTTCTCGTGGCCTCCTGGTCCTCTGCTTCACCAGGTTAGAGCTATGCCATGTAAGAAGAGAGAGGCCAACAGTGTGTGTGTTCTGTACCAGGGTCTGATCATGTAATCATTCACTATTCTCACCCAAAGATCAAATATCTTTTTTCTATTTTGATCTGCTTCAAAGAAAAGAAGAAAAATTAAAACTTACTTATTATGACTATCTGATAATATATATTACATAACCATTTTATTTGTTAACCATTGAAATATGTTTATTCAACCCATTCATGCATTTTTATGTTTAATTACTTGATTTTTGTTATTTCTGAATTTGATATAAATTCTGGGTATTAATTAGTCTTTATGAGATAATTGGCTGACACTTTTTTCCTATTCCATAGATTGTTTTCTTTACACTGTTGACTGTTTCCATTATCATGCAAAAGATTCTTGACTTGGTATACTATCATTTGTCTACTTTTGCTATTGTGTCCTGGGTCTTGGAGGACATATCCAAAAATTACCTGTGCAATGTTTTAAAGAGATCCATCATGTTCCTTCTAGCAGCCTTATCGTCTCAGTTCTTATAATAATGTCTTTGGTTCATTTTGATTGATATTTCTAGCAGGTGGCAGATTTCAGTCCCATTTCCATTCTGTGTGTAGAGATATTCAGTGTTCCTAGTTGTCATTGGTTGAAAAACCTGTGCTTTTTCTTATTCATGCTGCAGTGTCTTTGTTGACAGTCATTTGAAGCATATAAATTCACTTCTATGAAGTCTAGTCTATTCATCATTCATCATTTTTTGTTTGTTTTTTAGAGACAGGGTTTCTCTGTGTAATTTTGGTGCTTGTCCTGGGACTCACTCTGTAGACCAGGCTGGCCTTGAATTCACAGAGATCCACCTGTCTCTGCCTCCCAAGTGCCATCACCGCCCTATTCCATTTATCTATGTGTCCATTTTCATGCCAGTAGCACAGTTTGTTTTAGTTTCCTACAAAACTGCTAAAAGTAGACATCACTTTTCTGGATATACATACATCATTGTTCTCTTTCAGATTCATGGCTTTTTAATTTTTCCCTTTTATTGAGAATAGATTATTGTCTCATACAATATATCCTGATTACCTTCTCTGGTGAGAGTTGAGAGATGCATTAATCTATGGCTATAAGGATAAGTCATTAAGAGTTAGCTCAATTCTATATCTATTTAGGTTCTTCTTTAGGGCCTAAAACCTGTCTGATCACAGATTCATGACCCCAGTAAGGACGCCAGGTATGGGATTTGTCTTGTGGACTAGGGCTTAAATCAAAAAAGCAATTAGTTATTTCCATAATATTCATGCCATTATTGTAGCAGTGGGCATATCTTGCTAAGTCATTATTAAGCTTGCAGGTTCATGGTTATATAAAATTGATGATTGCTTTTTTCTTCCAGTATGATGTTAAATTCTTGACTTAAAATTAAAAAAAAAAAACACCTTTAGATCTCTATGAAATTACAAGGTTAAGAACAGTCATATATATTCAACTGATGAGTTCCTGTGTTTGGTTTCTGAAGGGCTTAATAAAACATGGAAATGTTTTCATAGTGGTTTCATTATTTCGCTAGTCACACAGGTGCCTGTAGGAGCTCCCAAAGCCATAAAGACACATTCAACAGAGCTCTAGCTACTTCCCTCTGAGACTTTTCCTTTAGGGCAGCCATCATCTGTTTAACTGGTTCTTTTTTTTTATTTAAATATCCCCAACCATGATGGGCATGGTGGCATACACTTTTAATTCCAATATCCTCGACAGAGGAAACACACAAGCAAAGAGTCGAATAGTGTGGGCTGCTGACACCCTCCCATGTGTTATCCACAGCCACTTAGATGTGTAGTCACTGACTCCAGAAACTTTATTCAACTGTTTGAATATGCCATTTAACTTCAATTGTCCACATTGGAAGCGGGGGAAGGGGCTCACAAAATCTAATTTTAGACAACATGATGGTTTTATTTCTGTAACAGGACAATAAATCAGCAAAGGGTTATTTGACAGTAAGATTCAAGCAAGTTTGACATCCAGGGTCTTCAGATTAAATGTTAGGTCCATGCAAATGTTGGAAATGGTATATTACACATGAAGGCTATTTCTGTATTTCTTTAATTACTTTTTTAATTTAATTTTTTATTTTATAATTTAATTTAATTTTACATATCAGCCACGGATTCCCTTGTCCTCCCCCAGCCTATCCCCCATTCCCATCTCCTCCAGGGCAAAGACTCCCCTGGGGAGTTCAACCTGGTAGATTCAGTCCAGACAGGTCCAGTCCCCTCCTCCCAGGCTGAGCGATGTGTCCCTGCATAAGCCCCAGGTTCCAAACAGCATAGCTGGTTCTTATTTAAGAAAAATGGCTATTACTTGTCTGGAAAAAATTTTAATACTGTTTCATAAAAGAATGTTTACAGTTATTTTATTCTTCTTACTCTTAAAACTAAAGTATGAAATAAAAGATAAATTTTAATTAGTGAATAATAAATAAATAAGAATATGTCTTTTTCACCTTTTTTATTTTTTAATCAAACTTGATAGAAAAGACAATAATTTTAAATTTTGCTTTATTTATAATTTTCCTAAAATTATGAATTTTGTTGTAAAATCTGACACTTGAAGTTTTCCTTTGTGATCTGGATAGTTTCTTATGTATAAATCTATGTCTTTTGAGGATTAATCTTCATTGTGCCTATTTATTTGTGACATGTATATTATTTAACTGCTTAGAAAAAGGTTAACATAGCATACTAGTCACTATTTTGAGACTAGAGTCTGCTGATACCTGGAAACTTAGACCTCTTACTAATGTTTTTATTGACGTAGGAAAGACCCAGTAAAACTTGAATGGATCCTTCACTCCAAGCAGAACAAGCTGAAAACATGGGGGAAATTGTTCCCTCTAAAAGTCACTGCTTGTACCAAACTTAATCATAGAGATCTTTAAATACTGTTTATTTCTGTTTCTTTAGCATCTCAAGATCAAGTCTATGGATTCCACCAAAGTAGCTATAGATGTTGGATTCCGCCATATTGATTGTTCTCACTTCTACCAAAATGAAGAAGAGGTGGGAAAGGCCATTCGAAGCAAGATTGAAGATGGCACTGTGAAAAGGGAAGATATATTCTATACTTCAAAGGTATCATATATATATAGTGCATCATTGTGCAAATTAATGAAGGGGGGTGTATTCAGATGACATAGTACAATTAAATCTGTAGTTGGTGAATTGTGCTTATAGGTCATCTTTTATTCATGCATGCCCACATATTACATTCAGTATTAAACATGGGAGGTGATGGCTTCCTCAGCATTGCTATATTTAAATTTAAAAGCTTAATGTAAAGTCCATTTGCTTATCTGAGACTCTGCTGAAAGCACTATGATTTAACATGAACTACATTATCAGAGAGGACTCTGCTGGGACAACAAGTTCCCTTATATGCTGAGTGATTTTCCAAAAATTATAATTACAAATATAAATCATATTTATAGATAAGACAGAACATTATAAAATAACCCTTTGGGTGTTAAATTAAGAGATAGCTAAAGTGTCTAGTACTATGTCCACGATATATTAAAATATTAAAAAACTTTTCTTTAGTTATATAAATTAAAGGGATACTGAATCTTCCCCCATTGAGTTCAGGTGAGAGAATTAAAATATTAAATTGCTCTCTAAGACACAATTATAGCACAAATTGATAATGTGTTTGTATATCAAGAATTTTCCTTCAATTTTTGTCATATTTACTAATAAAAGCCACACATATGAGAGTTTATGTAGATGGACACCACCATAAGACATTCATGATGAAAGTGAGTATTTTTCTTGTGGTCAGTTTTTAAGCAGTTGAAAATTTCTCAATACCAAGTGACAGAAAGCCATTGATTATGGTAGCTTATTAATCTAGCACAACTCCCATTGTTCATACTCTACAGCTTTGGTCAACTTCTCATCGTCCAGAGTTGGTCAGACCCAGCTTGGAAAGTTCACTGAGGAAGCTTAATTTGGACTACGTTGACCTCTATCTCATTCATTTCCCAGTGTCTCTGAAGGTAAGTAATTTGTAATATCGAACTATCTAACTTCAGCTGTCAACATGATGTTCATTGTGTGAGTAGATGGATTTAATACATAAAATTCATAAATCTCACTCTACTTATACAAGTTATAAAACAACAAGGTGTGGCTACAGAAATGATGGAAGGAAAGAACTGATTCCTACAAGTTGTCCTCTGATCATCCACTGTGTTGTATGCACACACACACAAAAAAAAAAAAAAAATGAAAAATGAATAAAATGTAAAAAGAAAACTTAAAAACACTACCCAGGATAACTCATGTGAAAAAGTTTACCACATCACGTAAATGAACAAAGCTAAGGAGTAGTCTTTGCAAATATCTCCACTTAGCCATACCCTTCCTCTGTTTATTAAAAGTTTGGTCAGTTTTGTTTCAGCCATTTCTATTGATGATAAATAAGGCCTTTAGCTCAAAGCTCATGAGCATTAATATTTGATGGCTTCCTATATGTTCCAATATCAAAGTTGATCTTGCAAAGAAACAATTGACTTTTTCTCACTTTCCTGACTTTGTATCATTCATGCACTAGGAACATTAAAGGCCACAGATTGGAGCCCTGATTATTTATCCTGTGTCAAGATTCCAACTCACAATTGCCTGAAATCAGTGCAATGACACTAGTGACATTGTCAGAGAAAAATGGACATTACAACAGGGAAATGAGCAGATGTATTAAAAGTAATGTGTCAACTAGTACCCCGCAGGACATGAAAATGCATTGTTTATTATTACACATAACATATGAAAAAGTAAAGTGAAAGGCACTTTATTAATATATGAAGTTGTTCCATCTAGGTTAGGGGTTTAATTTCCAGCCATAAATTTATCTAGGAGCATAGCTACAGGGAGAGATGTAAAAATGATAAGATCTCTAATGACTGCTACTATTCCAGCCAGGGGATGATATTTTACCTCAAGATGAGCATGGAAACTTAATACTTGACACAGTGGATCTCTGTGCCACATGGGAGGTGAGTGACTATAATAAAGACCCCAGAAGAAATAAAGAAATAGAAAGCAAGAGAATATGATAGGTAAGTGATCAGCCCTTCTAAGACTCTGGGAACATCTCAGAAGGAAGGTCAGGAAGAATGTAAGAGACACAAGACAGAGAGAAGAGTGCTGTCTTCTGGACATGACACAGACAATGCAGACATGATCCCTCAGCAGGTGCCCACCCACCCTCAAATAGGCCTGCACAAGATTGAGTCTGTCAATAGTCAATCATCAATCCTAGAAGGACTCGTGGGGCCCTATGCTCCCTGGTGAACTAGCTACTGATGATAGATTCTTGGGAAGGATCAGTCATTGTCTTCAGTTGGGTATCCACTCAGGAACCCACCAGACCCCAACAGATATTTCCAAATCCATGATCACATCAATAATCCTGGTTAAATTCAAAAGACCTCAAAACAAAAGAAAATTAATGTGGGAAAGAGACTTGCAGAGAGAGAGGACAGGTAATAGCTGTGGGAAGGAGATTACTAGAGTGTATGAGGATTACAGTATTCTGAAAGCACTACATGTATATGACATTTTCAAAGAACTGATTCAGTGAATGTTACTGAAAACAGCAAAGAGGTCCAGTTCACACAACTCCACATGTAGGAAAAGGATGAGTGCTCTTTGCTGTAGACATTATGGTCTTTCTCGTCAATGTTCTGCTTAAGTAGTAGGGAAAATGCATAGCAAAAACAAAGTGAACGTGGAGAAGATAACTGTATCCTGCTTTCCTCCCTATGCAATAGTCATGATTGCCTAAGGAGAGCATAGGACTTTATTTCATTGTCATCACCTTTTCTGCCATTTCCTTCATCAGTTTTTACCAATAAATACAAGTCAACTTCACTTTCCTTTCTTGGCACTCTTCTTTCTAGCAACATAGCTTTTCATTTCTATCAGTCAGATTCCAATTGTGTATGTTATTCTCCACCAATGTTTTCTTCCCAGGCCATGGAGAAGTGTAAGGATGCAGGATTAACCAAGTCCATCGGGGTGTCCAACTTTAACCGTAGGCAGTTGGAAATGATCCTGAACAAACCAGGGCTCAAGTATAAGCCTGTGTGCAACCAGGTGAGCTCCTTTATCTCTTTTCCTTTAGACTTTCTTTGCTTTCTGGATGTCCTATTGACAGGTGTCTGTATGTCCTTCCTACTTGTTCATCTTTCTGTTATGGAGCAAAAGGTGCTAAGAGCAGAGCCTTTATCCAGGGCTCTTGAACAGCTTGTATCTTTGCTTGGTAAGGCAAAACAATAATGAGGGGAGACCATACTGTGGAAAGTGTTTAGAGAAGTCAAGGCTAACATTTGGAAATGAAGTCATTAGTCACACTTCAGAAGGAAGATCCACTTATCCCTGAGATACTAATGATGGCCATAGACTGAGTCAACAAAGGATCAGTGAAAAGTACAGCAATACTGGTAGTAGATGAAATCCATACTCAGAAAATTGTAGTAATAATTATAGTTGATCCAGTGCCTGACAACATCTATTGTATGCTGATTCTGTGACATGAGATAGTTTTCATAAATTACATATAAGAAATGTGGGCTGGGTGGTGGTGACACACACCTTTAATGCCAGTACTTGGGAGGCAGAGGCAGATGGATCTCTGTGAGTTTAAGGCCAGCCTGATCTACAAAGTGAGTTCCAGGATAGCCAGGACTATACAAAGAAAGCTTGTCCCAGAAAAATAAAGGAAGAAAGAAAGAAAGAAAGAAAGAAAGAAAGAAAGAAAGAAAGAAAGAAAGAAAGAAAGAAAGAAAGAAAGAAAGAAAGAAAGAAAGAAAGAAAAAGAAAAATGTTCTCTGTTGAAAAATGTGACATGGATGTGTTGGGTACATAATGACATATTATTTTCAAATATAAATGTCAAAGAAATAATACAGAAGTAATATTTTTACATCAGTTATATAACAAATCACATTTAAACTTTTAAAACATTTGGGATAATGATACAAATATCAGTGTGTCTAAAACAGTGGTTCTCAACTTTCCTAATGCTCTGATGCTTTAATACAGTTCCTCATATTGTGGTGACTCACAACTATAAAATTATTTTTGTTGCTGCTTCATAATTTTGCTTGTAATTTTGCTAGTGTTATGAATTGTAATATAAATATCTGATATGCAGGATATCTGATATGTGACCCCTGTGAAAGGATTATTCAACCCAAAGGTATCACGACCCACAGTTAAGAATCACTAGTTTAAAATGATTAATGTATACCATAGTCTATAATATAGGCAAGTGCAAGTGTCTACACCGACACACATGTGTTTAATGTTTTGATGAACCCATTGAAATATGGAAATATGAAATATAGAAATAACTATTCACTCTTACTACAGAACACATCTACTACAAAATTAACTGTTCTCATCCATTACTATGTAGTTAGAGTTTTAGATCAAAGGAACTCAAAAACTAGTGGAGTTTTCAACTTTAGCTGAAGGCAGTTGGAGATAATAACAAATAAACTAGAACTCAAATAATCTAGCAACTAGTGATGTCAGATTTGATCATTTAGTAAAGCTAGCCATAGCAATATCTCTTCTTTTTAAAGGTAAGATTTTTTCCTTTATTTGAAATGCATTTCCTTCTCACATAATGTATCTTGATTACAGTTTCCCCTCCTTCTACTCCTCTACATTTCTCCTACGTTCCCTCCCATCTGGATCCATCCCCATTCTATCTCTCATTAGAAAAAAAAAGCTTCTAAGGGATAATAATAAAATAAAATAAGATAGAATAAAAACTAACACATCAGAATATGACAAAACAAATTACCAGAAGGAAAACAGCCCAAGAAAAAGCACAAGAAGCAGAAACCCACTGTTTGTACACTCAGAAGTCCATAGAAATCACTAAACTGGAAGTCATAATATATATGCAGAGATCCTGTGGGGTATATATTTTATCTATATAGAGATAGATAGATAATAGATGATAGATGATGAATAGATTAGATAGATGATAGATAGGTAGGTAGGTAGGTAGATAGATAGATAGATAGATAGATAGATAGATAGATAGATAGATAGATAGATAGAAAGATAGATAGATGCATAATTTTTTAAAAGCATGACATTATGAGACAAGGAACCTCCAAAGATGACAACTGAAATTGCTTTCTAAGGGCATGCAGCCTACCCTTAAGAGTAGTTTGTTTCCCCAGTGAGAATACTTTGGAGGAAACTAAATTTTTACTTGCAAGTGGTTATCAATTGGAGATTGATTCTGTGTTAGGGATGGGGCTTCTGTCTACTTCTTTCTGCTCTAGGACACCATCTGGTACAGCCTTGCACAAGCCTTTTGCAAGCTGCCTCAAACTTTGTAAATTCATATGCATGTTGATCCAATTGATTTAGAGGGCGTTGTTTTCTTAGTGTCCTCCATCCCAGCTGGCTCTTATGCTCTTTGCACTTGCTCTTCCACAAGGGTCCCTGAGCCCTGGGGCAAGAGATTTGATAGAGATATCCCCTTTAGGGATAGGTGTCCCAAGGTCTCTCACTGTCTGTACAATGCCTGACTGTGGGTCTCTGTATTTGTTCCCATCTACTGCAAGAAAAAGCTACTCTAATGATGGCTGATAAGGCACTAATAAATGAGAATGACATTAGGAGTCATTTTATTGCTATGTTCTTTTGGTAGAACAGTATCATTTGGCTTTACCCTAGGTCCCTAGACTATCTAGTCTCAGGTTGTGTACCAACCAAGTAATGCCAGGTATGGGTTCAATTTCACTGAGTGAGACTTAAGTCAAGTCAGATATTGATTTGTTATTCCCACAAGCTTTGTGCCACCATTGCACTAGCACATCTTACAGGAAGGACACCACTAAAGAACAAAGGGATTGCACCTGTGATGGTGTTTATATTTTTTGTTTGGTGGCATAGAGAGTATCCTCCTGTACCAAAGATTCTAGAACATAGGAGTGAAGGCTCAGTGAATTGCATAGGTGTTGTCTTCAACAATGGGGTCTTGCTGTCAGTTTGTGAAAGGCAAGTTATAGCCTTGGCAACAGCCTGGGTTGTTTGGGAATTCCTATGGGACCCCTTTGGCCAACAATTCAATTAGATGTAACCCAACACCAGTAGTGGGAGCTTCATTTGGTGTCAAAAGATGGCTGGTTAGGACTCTGTCTCTCCGCTTATTTGGTGATTTCATTTAGGTCACCTTCATATATATATTTATATATTTTTTCCAGGAAGTTTCTACTGTATTGGGTTTCTTTTTGACCCTGTAAATGGCCCTTAATTTTAGCTGCTGCTCCCTGTAATTCTCTCTCTCATTACCCTCTCCCCTCTGCCTCCCCACTTGATCCTCCTGTTCCAACTCCCCATTGTCCATCCATAACTGTATACTCAGTTTCCCTTTCCTAACAATATCTGTCTGTACCCTCTACTCCCATACTCTATACCTAACTTCTGTGGATCTATGGCTTGTACCTTGGTTTTCATTGACTTAATATCCACATATAAGTGAATACATATCATATGTGTCTTTCTGGATCTGGGTTACCTCGCTCAGAATGATTTTTTTTTCTTGTTCCACCCATTTGCTTGCAAATTTCATTATTTCATTTTTTTGACAGCTGAGTTAATACTCGGTCATGTAAATGTACCACATTTTTTAAATCTACTTTTCTGTTGAGGGACATCTAGGTTGTTTCCAATTTCTGACTATTATGCGTAGAAAGACTGAGCAAGTGTCTCTGTGATAGGAGGAAGTATCCTTTGGATATATGCCCATGAGTGGTAGAGCTGGATCTTGACATAGATTGATTTTCATCTTCCTGAGAACCACCACTCTGATTTCCATAGTGACTGTGCAAGTTTTCACTCCCACCAGCAATGGATAAGTGTTCCTCTTACTCCACGTCCTCACCAGCATGAGCTATCACTTTGTTGATCTTAACAATTCTGAAAGGTGTAAGATGAAATCTCAAAGCAGTTTTGATTTGCATTTCCCTGATGACTAAGAAAACTAAACATATCTTTAAGTGTTTCTTGGCCATTTAAGTTTCCTCTTCTGAGAACTGTGTTTAGATCTATACCCCATTTTTAATTGGGTTTTTTTCTTGATTTCTAGCTTTTTGAGTCTATCTTTGTTAATTGTGTGAATGTGGTTTCAAGGTTGACCATTCTGAATTGGACAAGTAGTAAAGGAGCTCATCCCAGGGAGGCTAATTCTCCTCTTCCCAGAAGTATTGGCTGTCTGTAGTTCTTTGTCTAGGGATGAAACCTGTGAAATTTCCCCCTTTGATGTTAACATATATAACAATATTGCCATTCACTCTTCTTTCTTGATATATTAGTGTAGAAAGAATTTGGATATAAAGTCCAAACAAATTTACCAAGTTTAAGAAAAGCTGAATTTTGATTTCTTTCCTTTAATTGTCAGTACTGTAAGAAAGGAATTAATATAATAACCACCATCATTAGAGGACAATACTTTTCTGTTCTCTCTCTCTGTCTCTCTCTCTTTCTGTGTGTGTGTGTGTGTGTGTGTGTGTGTGTGTGTGTGTGTGTGTCCCTCCCTCCTTCCCATCCTTTCTGTACTTACTTTATTCTTTTAATTCAGAAACTAACTCAATATCACTGGTAAAATTTCTAACAACTTCCTGTTCTCTTTTAGACATTACCTCAATTGAATATTTGATCAAATCCTTGCTTTCCTCTACTATTCAATATTCAAAGCTCTACAAATTCGTGGAATTTGTTATGTCTCCCACAGTAAAAATTGGTGTTTAGCCTCCAAGATCTGGCCTGCAGGGTTACTGAATCTCAAGAATGTTACTTTTCTAACTTCCCAAGATAGATATTAAATTTATTTGAAAAAACCATGACATGGTATTGATGATATTCTCAATTCAAATTTCATGCTAATATTGATTATTTTTATTCAGCTTCCTTTCCTTTAATATCTCTTTGATATTACTAAGGGATTTCATGGAATTTTATATGTTCCTATTCTGTTTATATACAGGTAGAATGTCATCTTTATCTCAACCAGAGCAAGCTGCTGGATTACTGCAAGATGAATGACATCATTCTGGTTGCCTATGGTGCACTGGGAACTCAGAGATATAAAACTTGGTAATAAGAACAGCAGAAGTCATCTATAAGTCACAATTGTTAACATTCTGGACTCTTGTGGCTATTTTCATTTGTATTCAACCCTGGCAACAAATTTCTGGGATTTGTCTTTCCTTCTAGTGTTAATGAGGATACTCCAGTTCTCTTGGATGATCCAGTTCTTTGTGCCATAGCAAGGAAGTACAAGCGGACACCCGCCCTCATTGCCCTTCGATACCAGCTGCAGCGTGGAATTGTGGTCCTAGTCAAGAGCTTCAATGAGGAGAGAATCCGAGAGAACATGCAGGTGAAGAGGAAGCCAGACACCAGGGCTCATAAGCTGCATCCTTCATATATGCCACATCTTTCATTTTCAATTTTAGAATTTTCTAGTGTACAATAAGTTTAATAAATTAAGCAGTACATCTCTTACCTAAATTTGTCAGCTTTTAATTTATTGATATTGTATTATTTCTCTATAACACTACTTTAGAGTAACACCAATCAGTGATGGACTCATGTGTTAAAATTGTAACAGTTAGTGATCATCTTTTTTCATGATAAAACTGATTGGAATTATCTACAATGAGTCATCTTCCAGCCAGCTTCTGAGTCCTTTGACCAGGAATCATTAATGATTGGGTAATTCCTACTTTAAGTAATATTGAAAATGATTTTTTTCTCATCCTAATTCTTCATGGGTAGGACATACAAACGCAACTGTATCCATGAAAATTTCTGAAGCATATTTTCAAAACTGTCTCTGCACTTCCCTGGATCTTTCACATCATAACATTATTTCTTCTGAATCAAGTCAGCTTTCCTTCTTCTCCAGATTCCTTTGAAATCTTTGTCTGTCGTATTACATGTTATGTATGATGATATATTTCCATTTAATTTTTTAATCTGGTTTTCAGTGTTTTGCTTGATGACTTTAAGAATTGGGGGCAACTCCTCAGATTGTCTCAGATTGACAAATATTCTTCATAAATATATATCTAAAATAGTATCTCTTCCTCTATAACAGGCTTTGGATTTCCAATTGGCTTCAGATCACATGAAAATCCTCGATGGCTTGAACAGAAATTTTCGGTACTTTCCTGCTGATATGTAAGTAACTTTCATAACTTTTATAATTTTTGATGGTTCTCCACTTATTTTCTAAGAAGAGCATATTAATAGCATGTCTGTCAAAAGTTTCCTCACTATGAGGTAGTCAAAGAACAGTTAGAGTTAGAGAAGACACAGATTTCTAGAATTCTCTTTCTAGACTCAGACAGAGTTTTACTCTTGGACACAGCAAAAGGGAGTGGATACAGGGTCACCTTGATCTGATGCACTGGATGCAGGGTCACTTTGATCTGATGCAACTTTCCCTCTTGTATCAGTTGCATGGAATGTGCTGGGTTAGCCAACATTATTACTGAGTCTATATCCTTCCTGCAGATTTTTTGATTCCATCTATATTCTATGGATATAAATTCTGAGTATTTCAATGTCACATTTTCAGATATTATAATGATCAATTTACAATGTCATCTCAAAAATCTGCTCAGTCTCTTACAGACTGAAGGCAATTCCATCATCTCTGTGGTACGGGTCAATAGCTCTTACTCCTCTTCATCCTCTTCATATGCAATTGCTTATTGAGTCTTGCTAATTTAATGGCTTTAATAATGTCAAACCTCTTATTTCCTTTACACTCTATGTGTGTTCAGGACTCAGACAAACATTTTTCTCAAGAATTTCTCGATTGTTGTTGTAAATAAAACACTATTTTACTCAATGGACTATCATTACTCTCCTTATGCTATCTATAAGTCTATATAATTTACAAAAAGATGCATAATATAAAAGAAGTTAAGCAAGAAATTGCTTCTTGTGTGAAAATTTATTCATAATTAATTCAAATTAAGCACTATAATGTATGGAAGGTATTAGAATGCACAATTGCATGTAATCCAAAATTATAAAGTGGGTTATTACCTATATTAACAAAATATTGCTAATATTTTAATAGTATTGAGAAAAATAATGAAGTGAGCACACTTATTCAAAGAGATGGAAATAATGGCAAGCAATCAGTAATTTTTGCTCCTATTAAAATGATAAATTAGGGTTGAGGATTTAGCTCAGTATTAGAGTGCTTGCCTAGCAAGCACAAGGCACTGGGTTCGGTCCTCAGCTCTGGAAAATAAATAAATAAATAAATAAATAAATAAATAAATAAATAAATAAATAAATAAATAAATAAAATGATAAATCATTTTATCACTTTCATGCTACTATAGAGCAAATTCCTTGGACATGGAATTTCAGTCCCATAAATGAAATTCCTTCTAGTTCTGGATAATATAGCATACCCTGTATCATAAGCAGTTAGTAAATAATTAATGATTGAAGACAACTGACACTAAGTGCTATCAGTTACTTTATCATTTAAGAGTGGTTTTTAACTTTTTACTACTTTTTAATTTGATGTATATGTGTGCATGCACATACCAGGCATATGAAGTTCAGAGGACAACTTGCAGGAGTTGATTCTGTGCTGCTACCATGTGGGTTGCAGGGATCTAACTCAAGTCGCCTGGGATGACAGCAAGCACTTTTACCGACTGAGCGAGCTCGCTGTTCCCCAAAAGTATTCATTATTGTCAAATAGATAACTGGACTTGCCCAATTCAAAACAAGGCAAAAATCAGTTTCTGCTTTGTTGAAAATTTACAGTAAAAAGAAATGGTCATCTTTTTGCATTATAGAAAGATGTATATATTTGAATGATTGGCTCCGGGTTCTCTATGTGATAAGTTCCAAGGAAAATATATTTGAACAGCTCATTTGTTCTTCCTTAGCTCTATTATAAAGTACTGTTTCTAAAAATAAGAACACATGTCATACGGCTTCTCAGAAAATCAAGTTTTCCACTTGAGCCTCAGTGGCATAGCTCTAGAAATCTTACACTAAAACAGTCATCAGACACATTGTGCATTGTTCTTTCTCATTGCAGGTTTAATGCTCACCCCAGCTTCCCATTCTTTGATGAGTATTAACATGGAGGCCTTTGCTATGAGCTCTGTTAGAAGCTCGTGTGTGCGATGCTGGACTCTCATATGCCAATAGATGAATACATCACCTTCAATCCATGCTGCTTAGAAACTCACCCTCAGTTTGAGCTATGTCTGTATACCAGGGAGCAAAAGTACTAAATTTTGGCCCTTTTCTATGAATAAAAATACCTTACTTCAGTCTCACCTACTCCTGTGTATAGACCTTGAATGTTTTACCTCCTCCTACCCCATTAAGCCCTCAAACTGATTAATCTGTATATTTGTGCACAGCACAATGTTTAAGAGATAAGAGCTATTTTATTGACATTTCTAGAGTAGGTATGGATAGGTTTCTTACCCTATAGGGAAGTAGCAATTAGGAGGGTTTTATCAATAAGTGTTTCTCCTGATCTTCAAACAACAAGGAAATATACATGTGATCTGGTAAGGCAAGATAAACATGAGAAGAGCAGCCAACATCCCTGGAAGCTCAAAGATTAGAGCTCCAAGAAGTTGGAGAATGCAGTCACTGTAGAAGGCTTTTAAGGGAGCCAAGAGGGGAGTCAGTCTTCAAAGGTCGTGAGTTCCTTGGGATATAAACAGATCCACTGTATCACAGGATGGAATTTGCAGATGAGAGATGGAATTCCAACTAAACTCTGGTGTGTCCTGATTCCAATCCATACAAAGGTACCATACAAGAACTCCCTTCTGTAGACACAACTCAAGCAATTCCCTTGTTTCTTCCAAGATACTTTAAGAGGCCTGTGTTTTCAAATTGCTTATGGATAAATGCTAATGATCTAGTGGCATGGCCTGGTATACCAACTATAGATATATAAAGTATAATATATATGTATATATAACTTTATTACAAGGAATGCTGTAATGAGGGACCTGTCTGCAGTATCAGTATATTTGCTCATTTCATTTGGATTGCATAGTCTCTCCTCATATAATACCAGATGATTATGTAATATCATAGCATACATTTTATCAAAAATTTAATTTATATTACCTAGATCAGAGTCCCACAGTCATAAACAAACCTACCATGACTTGCTGGTAATCTGAGCTGATTTTACTCCTTGTCAAAATATCCAGCGATGACTGTGCTCTTTTATGCTGGTTAATCTTTTCTAAAGATACTCTGGAACATAAAGATATCCAAGATCTGGATAATTGGACCAGACACAAAGGTCACCCCTGTTGACATTCTCTAGCCAAAATAGCCATTGGTATATATGTCATTTGTAATGAAACAGCACTGGTGGCTTACTCAGAGAAGGGATGGATATTCTCCATGACTAGATGCAGTATTCTAAACGGTGAGTCAATTATATTTTCCCACTGTATCCCACATCAGATGTCAATGACAGGGTCAGACTATGACCAGAGGATTCTTGCCTAGTCTATACGGCTTGCCTATAAGGACTCAATAATTAAGGGTTTCCTAAATCTAAATGGTACTGTATAGCTGCAGATATTATAGACTCTCATCACCCCTCTCCCCTGAGTTTTATAAATTTGTGTCTCCAAATAAGGCATACAATGGAATTTTGACCTGTTTGATCACCCTCAAGAAGCATGTTTAATTGGAAGACACACCATATCTTTAAGAAAATACTTACTATATAGATGATAATCAAGCAGAGAATCCCATAAGTGGAACTCCCTCCTAACTCTGGCATTGGCCCTATTAAGTTCTAAATTTACAAACCATCATGTTCCCTTATAAGTTTTCAAGCAATACTTTTTAAAAGTCCCATGCTCACAAAGATGTTGTCTCTATGTAACACATCCACTTCCTCCCACTCCCATTTTTAGAAGTCATTCTATCTTACAGAATGGATTATATAACCAAGGACAGATGGCATCATATGTCCCAATGTCAACACTGCTCGAAATTGGACCGTTATAGGACCCCTTGCAAAGATATAATTCCACTTTGCTAGCATTAGTATCTTTGCAAATGATCACATAGTTAATAAGCTTGAAGATCCACCTCCTCTGAGCCATTGAAGAAAATTAAAATAATTGCATCCAAGACAACACCAGAGCAAAGATGAGAAACTTCATCTAGTAAATGCCAATCATATCAGGAAGTGATCAGGGAAGAAATTCTTAACACTTCTTATGGAGCCCCCCGAACTACACCTCCGTATTCATGGACCTCCTTCCTCCAGGGTTAGCACAGCTCCCATGGAAGAGAGGCTCCAAAACAAGAGGCAAGTGTGTCAAACGTTTTCAATTAAAACAGAAACACACAAATTTGACAAAGAAATAAGTATGCCATATGATCTTACATTTGTCAAACATCATATTTCTCAGATGTTGATATGGAAGGCATCTCTTATCCCCAATAGGACTGGGAAAATACAGGAAACTTTACAGAGTCCAACAGCAAACACAAGGGTTTTAAGCTCCTCGAATGAATGATACAAAGAGAACAAACTCTTGACTTCTGAAAGTCAATGACTGGAGGTCACAAGATAAAACCATCACAACATTTAGCTTTGACTTCTCACTGAATGAATGGAAGTGTTTTCAAATTGCAGGACCCTCCTATTCCTATCTTAATGACACAAGTAACATCACTACCTAACCAAAGACTGTTAAAAGGCCTTCACATGACTGTAGCTCAATCTGCAGTTCCATTGTCACATTATCCAGAACCTGGACACTTTTCCATAAGTGATGGATTTGTTCCCCGGTTCCTGTCAAACTGGGGCACCTTGTTGTGCTCTCAGGTGCAAGACATCATTGTTACTATCTTTGTAATATACTTATAGTACGCTTCATTGAAATGTGATACATACGTGTTGAACTTGATCTCACTCTATGCACTGTAAGTTTCCTCCCCATAGAGGTCTCAGCTGCCAGATCTCCTTGATCTGTATTCACTTCCCAGGTATACAACTGCCAACAATGGTCCTGACCTCCACCACGTGGATTGTATTAACCATGATGTTAATCTCTATGTAGTAGCATTAACAAGACAGTCACTTTTCTCACATAAACCCTGATTTGCCCAGAAATGTCTGGAAACTATACACATCTCTAGACCACACCCTGTAAGAAGCAGAGTGAGCATGAACTTTCCAGGTATGCCACATTCACGCACAGCTAGACAGTCTTAAGTTCACTGAACGGGGTTACTTTTTTCTTCCAGAAGGAAACCACAGTATTGATGCTGGCCTACAGTGTTTTTCTACCGCCACCTAGTGGCGTGTCCACGCTTCCTACAATGGTGCTGTTCTCAGGGAACTGTCCATACTATAAACCTTCTAATGTTCTCAGCCGTTCTGACTTGTGGGGAGGCTTTGGGTGCTTTAATCTCATGAAGACAAGCATGCTGTAGGTATAACAGACAGATCCAAAAGGGAACTTAACCACCCTGGTTTCAAGTATTCATCTCAACTCAGACAAGTCCCCTGAATGGAGAATGTTCACCACCAAAATATTATATTTGTTTTGTAATAAATTCAAAACTCCAGTGAAACAAGATTCCCTTATATTTTTGTAAACTTTATATCCATCATTAGTGTTTTATATAAATCTGATAAAAAATTTATCCAATTTAAGACAAGACTACTAGAATATAAAGTGTATTGTATGCATGTATACATTACTTTGTGTAGATTTATATTTCAATATGTCATCTTCCCTATCACAAAAGTAGAATGCATTTTCTTCCACTTGCTCACATATTATTTTATGTCTTCAATATCTTATCATTTATTTCTGTGGAAGCTCTGTAGCCAAAGCCAAGTTTATTCTTAGGTATTTTGAATTGTTATCAAATGCTATGAAAGTTCTATTTTCCCATTCCAACTGTAGATGCCTAGTCTCAAACTTTATGTGTGTGTTGTATCTAGTCAGCTACAAAGAACTCTGATAAACTTGAAGGTTAGTTCTTTACTCAGCTCTCTTGAGATTTTATTTCCTTTGATACTGTGTTTCAGATTCCAAGGCAATTTTACTGAACTTAGTCAATTCTGAATTTTCTTCCCAAAAAAATATGGATATGGTTTCATAAGGCTATAGTCTTTTCACTAGGGGAGTGGAAACAAAAGGGTCACGAGTACAGGGAATCCTCAACTACACAGTGAGCTTGGAGTTAGCAGAGAATCTGTTTACAAAACAATGAAAAAATAGTATATCATTGACGAAATCAGGGAGGACATTAAAAATTCCTGAAGACATTTGAAAATGAGAGCACATGGTACTAGAACTTCTGGGATACAGTGACCAGAACTTCTGGGATACAGCCACCAGAACTTCTGGATACAGCCAAGGATACATGTCCAGATGGGAGAAAACATGTGTAAAGAGCAGCCAGAAAACTAGAACACTGAGACGAGATTTCAGTGGTGTAGCTATCTAAAGTTTCCCAAGGGAACCCAAAGACACAACTTACATGAGAAAGTTCAATGTCAGTTAGAGTGCAGTGATGTAGCTGCCCAAATCACCCATCCTTCTGTACATAATCCATTACCCATGTTCCTGTAAGTGATCTCAAAAACTACATCATTGGTTCACCAATATAGACCTTGTTTTACTTAGGGTTTCTATTGCTGTGAAGAAACACATGACCATGGCAACTCTTAAAAAGGAAAACATTTAATTGAGGTGTTGGATTACAGTTTCAGAGGTTTAGTCCATTATCAGCATGGTGGGGAGTGTGGTGGCTGGGAGTATGGTGGCATTCTGGTAGACATGGTGCTGGAAAATTCTACATTTTGATCCAAAGCCAACAGCAAGTGAACTGAGTAGCACACTGAATGAAGGAGACCTCAAAGCCCACCCTCACAGTGACACACTTCTCCAACAAGACCACACCTACTACAACAAAGCCACACCTCTTAATAGTACCACTCCCTTTGGGGACCAATTTCTTTCAAACCACCACAAACTTAGACAGAATTCTTCCTTCTGTTATTCCCCTTTCCATTCTGGATAAATGGGATATTCTTTCTAGGAATAGTTACACAATCAGAATACTAAATAATACTTCTTGATTTTCCTCTAAGAAATTTTTGGATTCTTAACGTCTTGCCCCAAAATGATAGAGTTCAATAGCCTCAAAGACTCTGCCTTAAA